TATCGTTTTCAGCACCCCAGAAAACACCTGCTCACGTAGTACTCAAACGATGGCCGAACGGCACACCAGATTGATTATATTTTGGTGCGTGCTCGCTGGGCCTCTCCGGCAGGAGACTGTTGTTCCTATATTGGCGCAGAAACTAGAAACAGGAACGGGACAGAACATACCCTTGTACGCGTCCGCTTCAAGATCCACCTGACTACTCGCCAGAAGACTCGTCTCCCGGGCAAATTCAACGTCACACTCTTAGAATGACTTGAGAGAAGGTAGGCGCTGCTGGATGCAACCGCTTCCAACATAGCCGAAACTTTCTTTGATGACTCAGCTGTTGACGCACAGTGGTCTACACTGAAAACATCCATCAGAGAGGCGGCGCTGGGGCAGTTAGGTGAGATTCTTTGCCCTAAGAGAGATGTAAATTTAGCAAATAGAACTTCATTTGTATCGCAAAAGTTAATTGGTGGCAGGCCAATTTCGAAGAACCATTGCGATGATGAATGATCATATCTGCGGTAGTGAAAGTGAGATTTCGACCAGAGCAGTCAGGTTATGGCGGGTTCGAGAGATACTGATCCACCGATATATACTCTATCCAATCGAGTCGGTGACTTTCGCTATCAAAACGCTAGTTCTTACGCCCCTTCGGGGGTTTATAGACGTATGAGGGTTCGAACTGTTTGATCAGGGTGGTCCTTCATGGTAGAATAGCTCGAATTACTCAACTGGAAATATATCTACTGCTGACTGGGTCATTCGCGAGGCAGGGACGAAGCACTAAACTGGATTGCTCCATTCACGTGAGTACGCGGACAATGAAGAATGGTGCACTCTGTTCGGGACATGTAAAACCCTTACAATCTGACTGGTAATGGAACGGAAACATACTCTAGGCCAGGTCTTCTAAAGGTTGTGCATACACGCCTGTGCAAAGCATATAGCGCTGGTACGATCAAGGAACACTGGTAGAGAAAAACACTTCGCAGCCACGACAGAAGCGTGAACTGCGGGACGATTGATGACACTTATAACCAAGGTCATTCATGTAATCATGCGACGATCGTTATTTAAAAATGAGCTCACCCTTTCCGTAGCATTCGTTAAAGACTGAATTGATTTTTTTTATTACACACCTAGGTGTGATGAACAGCAGAAGGGGTAAACCCCATAGTCACGAGCACCTGCTGTTCAGTGGTTGAAATCGGCACTCTAAGCCCCGGAACTTGGAGTGGCGAACCACATAAGGCCCCGATAGGTTAGGCGTGGTACTGAACCGGACGACAGCAGAGCTGCCTACCACCAAAGTCGGGTGGCGGTGGCGGGGCTCGAACCTCGGACCACAGGGTTCAAAGCACGCCGGTGACAGCGACTAAACCACTGCGCCACCACCATTATTTAAACGACCATTTGATGTGTTTACGTTTATTCTTCCTCTCCTGCTAGCATTGTTTATTGTATCGCTTTCTTCGTACTCACCTCACAGAAATAACCCCCATGTTCCTTACCTATTTCTCGAGTGCTTCGTAAAATGAAAATACATCACATTCGGATATGGTTAGTCGACGCTTCCACTCAGAACAAAACTAATGCACATAATTGGAATTAAAAATTATAATTCACCTGAAACGTGAGATTCTGATCTCCATCACTTATTAGTAATGTAGTAAACTAGACCGAAACGAAAACCTACTTGACAAGTGAAACCGCGAAGCGCTTACCTGATCTGGTACTAAACCAAGGCGCACCGCTTCCGACAGTAGCAACGAACCGGATAGACCAGCCACAACGCGGCGATCTATCAGTGCATTGAAGAATCCCATGTCAAGGCGAATTTGACGACGTTGGGCAATTTGTAACAGCTCACTCTCCCAATCATCCATACCGGAGTCGTCGTGGGCGAGATCTGGTCTGGGAAACAGACTGATCAGAGTAGTCAACAATTGCGTGCTAATTGTGGACCGGTAATTTTGTTCTACAGCTTCTAAAAATCCATGCAGTCCACCAACTAAGGCCAGGCGATGCCATGGAAGCCATTCACGTTCAGGCGGGATGATCTACAATGAATCGTATCGATTGACAAGACAACACATTAGACTACTATCAAAATAGTAAGTAATAAAAACACAAACCTCAATCAATTTGATGCAAACCATTGATGCACACGTAAACGACTACCTGCAGTAAGTGATTGTGGTAACATACGTGTTTCAATACATTTCCATGAAACTGTTCTAGCTAACCTTTTAGGCCATGAGTTCCACTTATTCTCTGCTTCTATTGTTATGTACAGAGCTGTCGCCATCACATCCAATAGGTACGATATTCCGCGATTTCCTCAAAGAAAATATCTCAACGAATACCTTTTAGCTTTAGGTCAGTTAGGTTTGAAAAACTAAAAACTCCGCACTCCTGGGTTTCGACTTGCGACGCTATCTGAACTACCAATGAAACTAATCATTTGGACCAATATTTCCTCCTGATGAACATAGAACTGGGCAACATCTCGAAAAAGATTTTAAAAAATCACCAATTACATTGCTTTCTTTAGAGTAAACATTGTTGGGGTCGACGAAATTGTTTCGTTCCATGGGATGCTCAATACTGGAAAGACATCCGGAAAATAGCGCAAAACGTTGCTAAAATACAAAGGCAAGTATCCAGCGCCCATCTATCTTTCGATTAGCAGAAAAATCCCAACTGGTGGGAAAAACGTCACCAACGCAAAGTGGTTGAATGGAGAGTTCACACAAAACAGGTAAGATTCGGTCTTCAAGAATGCTATAGTTCTTGATCATATTCTGCTCTGCTATTTCACAACCACGCGAACTTGCGTTCTCCTAACACCAGTTCGGAATGCAATCATCTATAAGGGCCTCCGTGCCTCCGAAAGCCTCAGTATGCTGGGGGTGTCTCGGGTTGCGGTTGATCAACCTTCCATCGCACCTCGCAAAATGCTCCGATAAGACCAAGTGTCTCCCAAGTAGCCTATACTGAAGAGATTATACTCATTACTTTCTTGTGGCAATGGTTTTTTCCTACCACAGTGAGAGGATGGGAAAGCCAACATCCGGGGATATAACCGGGTGCGTGAACAACTAACAGTTCAACAAGGAGAGATGGCTAAAATACCTGATCCCAAACCAATCAAGAAGACGAGCAAAAACAACACCCGCCCCACATCGGGCATGGAGGTGCACTGGAAACATTGAACATATGATACCATCCGAATAGCGTAGAATTCGATGAACTGGACACCAGAACCCGACGAACTGCAGTTTTTACACACCACCACGTTGCCTTATGGGTCGGGCTTTGGCTAGTCGAAGGCTCTGGTTGTAAATTTCCCAGGAAAAATCATCTGCTTTCACCTGGGCAACAGGATAGTATTCCAACCATTAGCAAAGCATGAATCCTTTTCTTTGTGAATAATGAATAGTTGGCAAAGTCCTAACTCAAACGTGCGTGAAAGTTAATATAATTACAATGTTCAGTATTGTTCTAATCGAGTGAAACGGAAAAGTTACTTTACCCATGGAGTAGGGGAGGAAAATTAATCAATAAAAAATAGCACACAGAAATGCTTACCAGAATGCCATGGTCTGTAGGACGAAATAAGTTTACAGGACTTTGGATGGACAATTTGGAGTCGTTCCAATCTGGACGAAAAACTTTGAGTGGTTGATCATCTCCGGACATCGATTTCAGTTGATTAGACACAACAGCTAGTTGATATGGTTCGCCCTCATGACCAACCGCAGAATTCAACGCTATCAAGTTTTTCAACAGCGACGAAGACTCATGAACCGGAATATCATTAACCGATGAATCACTGAGTAGGTTGGCATGTGGCTCACCAGTTCCAGTAATTTGAGTTGTCCGAAGACCAGTTCGTGGATGAAACAAAAGCACGTGGGCAGTGGATTTGGAGGGAAGAGGATCATAGTCTGAACACATGGCTTTCACGAAAGACACAAAACACTGCGGACCCCAGCGAACTGCGGTCAAGTGTGGAAGTAAGCGATGCCAGATAGTTAGAGAGAGATCTAATGCGGTCATTGGGGAAGAGTGTAGGACCAGTGAGGGATCATTTACGGCAACCAATCGACGTCTAATGCTAGCAGGACGAACAGCAGATAAAAGGGCAGTCATGGTGTAGCTGTCTGGTTGAAACGGCGGGGTATTTTTGGAGCTAGGATATGATGGAGAGAGGAGTGAATCCAAAACCTGAAAGCATCCTGTCAGATCACCACCTGATGAATGGTAGTAAAAATAACACATGTGCGTTAACAAAAGAAACACGGTCAGATTCAGTAGAACAGAAACAGTAGCAGTGGCAGCAGACAGGCAACAGACCGTAAATAAGCTGGAAACAATAGAATAGAACTTCTGAAATGCTACTCTATCCTCACTCGCTACATCGTCGGAAAAAAATGCGAATGAGAAATCCTCAAGCAAGACACTATTTCATCGTATGAGTAACAGAACAACTTTTCGGTGGTATGCAAATGATAGTAAGATTCAAGTCAAGTCAAGTTAATATAAGCTTTATGCACACTTTATACATATTGAGTGAGTTTTCAGCTTTCAACATCGTTATTACTGCGGATATTTTGAAAAAAATCAGAAGTTGCATTGTAAAAGTTGTGGAAACGTTAAATTAGTTACTTAAACGTGTACGAAATTCATTAGTTGCTTTTTGTGGGTTGGCAAGAAGACGCGATAAATACGGAAGAATATGGGAATATGAAGGAATGCTTATGATTCCAATGAAAAATATTCGTACATTATTGATACGATTCCTTGTTGAGCATAATCAGGGCAGATTTTGGTGTACATAGTTATCAAAGTAATAATGTGTAATTCTTCCCCATTCTCCAGGATTTATCCCCCCCCCCCCCCACCTT